GTAGCATCTGCATATGCTGCCAGGCTGTCCGTCTTCTTCATGAAGAAACTAAAATAAACCTTGTTTTTTTAATCTTTTTTTTTACTGTCTCCTTCCTTACGTGCTCCCGTGATGTGGACCTAAGAAGACCCAATTTAGGGTCTCTAACAGATCTACTCATATTTGCATGTTTTCAAACTGCTAGGTTGGAAAAAGCTGGGGCTGACAGCGGGAGCTCATGCCACTCCCCGGATTCGAACCAAATTACCAACCTGGTTTATAAGAACACTACAAAATAATAAACAAAATACAATGATCTGCATTGTTGAATTAATGCACCTTTGACACCACTTTAACTGCTGCGACTCAATGCTATGGAAGCTTGAGAGTTGTAGTTTGTTGAGTGCCCAGCTCTGAGTTTGAGCAGAGAAAGCTAAAGCTAAAGAGATAATGGAGGGCTGAGATCAGAAGATGAGAAAGGAAGAGGCTACCAGTATTAAAGAACTCAAAAATCAAGACAATAAATAAAGAACAACTCTCAAAACATGGGAATTCCAGAGAGGAAACAACCAGGGCCAGCTAACACCTCCTAACTAAGAATGTCTCCAGGCAGGAGGCAGCCAAGCTTTGAAGCTACAAGGACATTCAATGCTAATCAAGATGGCCAATTGCAACATTTACACTTGCCTCAAACAGTTCTTTCTCCCACCCTGGACATTATTCCACAGATATATAAACCCCACTTGCCTAGTTTCCAACATACCACACAACTTCTGAGGATACCTGCCATAGATGTGGGCGAAATGTCAGGAGAGAGTGCTTCTGGAACATGGCCATACAACCCAGAAAACTAAAGTGATTCCGGCCATGAAAGCCTTCGAAAACACATTAAATAATATGCTTCCATTAATCAGATGTATTGGACTAGTAAATGACCTTTAAATGCCCAGATTGTATAAAGTCAATCTCCAATTTATCTGCATTGACCATAGAAGCACACTTTTAAGGAAACATGCGTAACTTGCCACTACAAAACAAACTTAGTTTGCTAAGTTATAATTCGTATTTATATGTTGGGTTGTATAAATTTTGTTGGCATGGATGTACTGTTGTTGTATTCGGGCATTGAATGTTTGCCTTTTATGTTTGGAATTTGCCCTGAGTCCCTTTGGGGAGATAGAGTGGAATATAAATAAAGTGTTGTTGTTGTTGTTGTTATTACTATTAATCAAATCCTCAAAAAATACTATTTATTTACTTCCTGCCGTTATCCCCCTCATTTCCCATTTAATCTCATAACATGATAGGGATTGTGTATAGGCGTTTTACAACTAAGCAATGAAGTCAAGTTTCCCAAATCCATTTCCAATCTTGAAATGGAGGAATATTTGGATCTGTACCTATTTTGGTCTACACCAGTGGTCCGTGGACCATCAGTGGCCCGCAAGAACTAAAATATGATCTGTGGCCTCACCGTTAGTTACTACACCGCTACAACGAGAGTGATTTAATTTGCGAAACCCTCTTATAGTGTCGAGGTTTATTAAATATGGTTTTCTGTGGGTGAGCAGATGTGACTACTGGATGGCATATGTTCTGTATCAGGAACTAGAGCTGATGTGGTCTATCCAATGCAATTTTCTGAATCAGCACAGGTCCAACTTACCTATCCAAACGTATCTCTCCTTATGAACCATCTAGGAATGGTGGTTCTCAACCTGGGGTCCCAAGATGTTTTTGGCCTTCAATTCCCAGAAATCCTAATAGCTGGTAAACTGGCTAGGATTTCTGGGAGTTGTAGGCCAAAAACATCTGGGGACTCCAGGTTGAGAACCATTGATCTAGGACGTTAAGATCTTCTGGGGAGGCCCTGCTCTCGGTCCCGCCTTCCTCACAGATGCGTCTGGCGGGGATAAGAGACAGGGACTTCTC